AATACGGAAAGAGAGATATTTCTTATAGCTGTGCTTGTACTATAATAGAAGCATTTTCACATAATCAGGGGTAGCGATTACTAAGAGTAACACTGTAGATTTTATTTGTAAAAGCTGATGGCATTTTTCCTGGGCCAGATTTATTATGAGAATTTGCTGCTCCATAATTGTTAAATGTCTGTTGTATGAAAAGTTCATATATGAAGCCAAAATACAATTTAAAGTCTACTTTAAAATTTTGAGGAAACAAAATCAGTGAAAAAGAGACAACTCTATGCTCTTCTTTATATTGCATTTGATACTGTGTAACTGATAATAGTTTAATCATCAGAAAAAGATACTTGCTCTACACCACTTCAATATTCTATGTTCTTTTGAAAGTAATATGCCCAACACAAAATAATACAGTTTGCTTTGCATATTGCTTTGCGCACCCTCCTTCCCCAAATGTACAAATGGCATTCAAATAGTTCCAACAGCTATACGAGCATAAAAATACACACATAAACACTCATGGGGAACTGGATCTTGCAGTCTCCAGCATCACCCTACTTATCAAATGCAAATCTGAATTCTGGGAGATATTGAAGATGCTGAAGAATATGGCACAGAGAATTGGAGATGAAATTCTTAGCAATTTAAGGGATCCCTTTGTCTCCCATGACACCAGAAAGCAGCATCTTTCTATTTGGACTAAAGCCACAACTTATACTCTCAAATACAAATATTTTCCAAAAGTTCAAATTTCATTCTGTCACATATACACATATTCAAAGTTTTTCTTTTAGTTTCTTAATGCAACTGCTGGTGAACCTAGAGAAGTCACAGTTTCCCATAAGAGAACATTTTTTTAAAGTTATGAATATATGAAAAAATAAGCATATTCTTAAAGAAGTATCACTTTTAGTTTTCATTCTAATTTTATGGCCTTTCGTTCTTAAATGTATTTCATGTATCTCATGAAGCCACTGGCCTGAATGAGTTTTCATGGGTTCTATGATGACCATTTACAACTGGTACAAAAGGAATGTAACACTTCTTACATTTATAACTTGCTGAACGTATTCTTTAAAAAATGGAAAAGATTAACCTTGCAAAGTCATTTATCTAAATATTTTGTTGAACAAAAAGTTTGAAAGTCCGAAGTTCAGAAACAACGGAACAGTTAACATAGGGTACATTAGCACCAAGTTTGATTACATATGTACTATGAACCTTGGATAATTAATTTCAGATAGCAAAAGTTCATTTGGACATTTTTTAGCATTGAAGAAACCAGGATGTTTTAATTCTGCAATTATGGACTGGATGATTATAAAGCACTGCATACATGTTTACATATTACAGAATTGAAGCAAATTTATGGGGAAATGTATTGACTATTGCAGATCTTCTAATAAAAATACATTTGAATGAACAGAGTACACTTATAACAACGCCTTCCATTTTGTTATCTCTATTTCCTATTGGGTGGGATACTTGCTCATAGAAGAAAACCTGATTTTCCTGCTTTTGTCTCCCCCATGACAATTTTCTCTATCATTAAAGCTGAGTCTACAGGAGAAATATGTTCCTTGTGTGTGTACGATATGGACAAATAAGTAAATAGGATGGAGACCATCAGATATAACCCCTCTCATGAGGATAGAGTTAAACATTTTATTTCAACTATTTTTTCAGGAAACCCCTGAATTAAATGTTATTTTTGAGTTTAAAATGCTGATTTCACAAACTGAAACTTGGGAGTCTCATGTGAAAAATTCACATGTGTGTACACACAGAGACACCACCACACAAAATCCATTTTCTAAAATTTGAGACTAACTGTTGTCATTCTATTTCCTCAGATTCTGGGATTTATGGCAAATTTAAAATGTGAACAGTTATTTGTTTTTTTGAATTTTATCCCATTTTTATTACTTTATAAGTAATTCAATGTAGCAAACATACCTAATACTTCTTCCTATTTTCACCATGCAACAAACCTGTGAGGTAGGTTAGCCTGAAAGAGAATGACTGGCCCAAAGTCACTCAGCTGGCTATCATGCCTATGGTGGGATTAGAACTCACAGTCTCCTGATTTCTAAACCACCACACCACACTGGTTCTCTTTATTCACTGTGATATCATAACAAATCATTCCCAAGAAAACCTAAAAGTAAACTTAACTGTCCAGTGTCTTGTTTTTTTATCATAAGTTAAATACATTTAAACTATCTTTAAAAGGGACTATTTTAGTCTAATAGTGAAAAATATCATTTATGAAATATCTTTGAATTAACTATTAAGTCCTTCTTTTTTTGATACCGATAAAACCATGTGGAGGAAAAGTCTTTAAATAAAGACGCCTCCATACTATCAGCTTGCATTGCCTGAAGAAGTTATATATATATTCATTTCATGTTAAACACAGGCTGAATTAATACCTTCAGAAAAGAACATGAAACCAAGCCACAAACTGGTAAGTCAATTAATAACATTTTGAAATTCAAGGTTGAATGCATCTTCCCAAATACACGCTTAAAATAACTTTTTTCAACTTAAACTCTTTGCTGTAAAATGCTGAACGTAGCAGTATTCTGCAATTTGAAAACTGCTTACCATTCTGCAGATTGTGTTCATTAATAAAAGTAATTAAAAATTAATATGTTCTATAGGCCAGGGATCCCCAACCCCCAGTCCATGGACCGGTACCGGGCCACGGCATGCCGCAACTGGACCACACAAACAAGCGAAGCCCCATTTGCATGATGCAGGCAGCACACAAAACCACACACTCTCTGGTCCATGGAAAAAACTTTCTCCACGGAACCAGTCCCTGGTGCCCAAAAGGTTGGGGACCTCTGCTATGGGCTACTGAAAGCTATCAAAATTAGGAAAGAAAAAAAAACCTCTCCTGCTCATCCCTGTTGTAAGGAGAGATGGCAGCAAGTTGTTCATCTGTCAACAGTTTCCAAACCAAACATACAAAAACAAACTGCTGCTGAATATTGGCAATGCTGATAAAGGCGATCATCTCTTAACTTGCCTTCTCCTCTATTCTCAAGAGTTTCATCAGTAATTGTTCATCAGTGTTCCATTTTATGAAGGTAATTCAGCCTGTTGCTGCTCAGGATCAAAAAAAATGTCAATAGGAAAAGGTGATCATTTACAAAACATATGCAATTTGTGTTTTCATTTTAGAAAGAAATGCAAATCATGGACAATAACATTGCTTAAACCAGAGGTCCCCAACCCCTGGTCTGTGAACCAGTACCGGGCCGCGGCATGCCAGCAACCGGGCCGCACAAACCAGCAACGCCCCATCCGCGGGATGCAGGCAGCACACAAAACCACACACCCTCCGGTTCGCAGAAAAACCTCTCTCCACAGAACCAGTCCCTGATGCCCAAAAGGTTGGGGACATTTGGATTAAACTCTAAACCATAAACACTTGTGCCCCTCTTAAGACCTAAGACATATTGGACCTCTTGGGTGAAAACTCAAGGTTGCCATATTGCAATATTTTAACGTGACAAAATGGAAAATTGGGAAATACATACAAAATCGTTATTGGGACTGTATTCAGTTACTTTGATTAATACAAAAGTAAACTCAATGAAATTTGAATATTTGTCTTAGGCTGACTTTTTAACTTTTTTTTTTGGAAACCAGTACAAAAGCCAAAGGAGCTTCTCATCTTGAAAGAACTTAGGCATTTATAGATTAGACTAATAAGTGGTTAGCTTGCTTCCACTGATCCAGACTGATAAATATTTTTATCCAGCATTACAGTGTAAGTTTAATTTTCCCATTTTTCACAAAAAAATATCATTTTTTCTAATGTTCTTTTTTCTAATCATTGAAATAGATTAACCTGTGAAACTAAATGCAAATCTTCCCATTGGAGCATCCACCATGAAAGTCATTGGCTTCAAAATGGAAAATGTGACTAAATGATCAAAGCCTCACTCCTTTTTTAAATATCCATAGCATGGCAGTGCTCTTACATTAAAAATGACTTAAGTTTTGATCACCAAGTTCTGCCTGGCATTTGGAAGCCAGGGTCCAACACTGTGAATGAGCCTGCTTCCCATGGCGTATGCAAAGATGTTCCGCAACCAAAGATAATTTACAAGACACAACCATTTATAAACAATTTAGAGAGTAGTTTATAAAACAGAATCAAACATTGTTCTGGATATCCAGATGTATCATTCTATTTCATAAATTGTATTTGTTAAACCATAATAAATAGCTTGGTCCCATTGTTTCATGTTGATTATTTTAATACCCCTCTGCCCAATTTCTTTTGCTACCCTGCATAAACAAAACTGCTTTAATCAATATAAACATGATTGCCTTATGTAACTGACAGTGATGCATTGCAAAAATGATGAAACAAGAAATAGTATATAAGAGCTTAGTCCTCAGTGAACACTGTGAAACGCAGCAGGATTTCCAACAAATTATAAAATAATGTCGTGGCAGAGGTGCAGGATGGAAAAATTTGTGTAGCCATGTCATGGTCTTTAAAAGCACCCAAGTTATTTCTCATATCTCCCATAAGTACATACTGCAGAAGTTGCTACTTTTTGGTTTCCCACATGGGACAGTAAATGTATGATTAAAATATAACAGTAAGTCACCATAGTTTGGATTGTTTAAAGAAGGAAATCCAACATTGGATTATTACTCTTAATTCCTTTTCAAAATCTCAGCTCAGGAAAACACAAGAAGAGTCTGAAAGATGGTCACTTCTTCAACAAATAAACAGAAAGAGAAAGTGACCAATACCATCACTATTATTTTTTGAAAGATATCTTTATCTGGAAAGGAAGGAGAATGGTTAAGGTTTCAAGGCTTTAAGTGAATTATTGATCCACATTGAGAAGAAAGGCCAGATGACAAACAGTAATGCTTTACTCAGCACTTTTTCCCCCCTCTCCTCATCTTGGGATGGTGATTTTGACAGCTTCCCCCCCCCCATGATATAAAGTGCAGGAAAAATGGATAAAGGTTTAGTTCCAAAACCATTTCTCTAAATTACCAACAGACTTGTATTCTTGATGTCTCTTTACATGGTCACAAGCGAGACATGCGTGTGATTCCCAGAATCGAGAAAGGCGCACTGAAAAATCCTTCCTCCAGTTGAAGTAGCTAATATACAGTTTAGTGTTTTTGTCAAGCATCAGAAGGTAGTCTGAAAGGTCCTTTGGAGACAGGAAATCCTCCACATGTATGAAAGAATTAGCTGGGATGTAATTCTCATAGTTTTCTCTGGGAGGACCCAGAACAACTGGCACTGATCCAGCAAAAAGGGCATTGTAGAGTTTCTCTGTAATGTAGTCTTTATGGATAGAATTTTCAAAAGAAAGGTAAAACTTGCAAGTGGAAATAGTGGGGATCAAATTTTTATCACTGACATAATCTCCAAATGCTTGTCCGTAGGTATGAATTTCAATATATTTACTTAATTCATTATAATACTTAACTCTAGCATGCTCAGGATTCCAGTTACTCACTACCCAACATACGAGTTTTTCTTTATTCGGCATTTCGTACTCAAAGGAATTTGTGCTAACTATCATGAAGCCATAAGGCACCTGAATATCTGAATCCCGGCGATAGGTGAGGGTCAAATTGAACAGATGTTCAATCCCGCTCTTTTGTGGAGTATGGGTTGGAGATTCCAGGTTCATCCAGATCCATTTCTGAAATGCAGGTCTAGGTTGCTGAGGTAAATTAGTCAGATCCCAGCTAATGTCTCTGTGGTGAATGAGAACTGCCTGAGACCGGTTATATAGCGTGCGGTCCGTAGTCAGATGGCATCCATGGATATTAAATGTGGGACAGAATTTCAGATCAAATGTCTGTCCAAATGGCCACACCCATATCAGAATTGTTGTTTCATTAATGTAATCACTTTTGATTGAGAAGAAGTTCTTCATCTTTAGAACTGAGCTGGCTGATTCAATAGGGCTAGAGATCCAGCCACTTGTGGGTTTGATGTAGATCAGCAGACAGGCCATGAAACAGCCAAGCACAATGAAGAGAACTAGAAATGGCCGGAAAATTCCTTTGGATGATGATGTCATAATTTGATCTGCAAAGAAAAGAAGGCAAAGTTTAAAGTCGGTGTTTTTAGATTAAGGTGATGTTTATTAAAATTTGCATGCATAAAAGAACGATTTTGAAAGCATGTTTTATAGACACAAAATTACATATGTTGTTTGTTACATGCTATTGATAAACTCCAAAATTACAAATAATGGGAAAGAACCATAATATTTTTCACAAACCTGAATGAAAATTAAATTAATTGAAAATATGTACTGGGAATGAATGAAATGCAATGGAATGGAATACACTGTACTATGCTATATGTATTTATGTATTTGTATTTCAGTTTTAAAGTAATATCACTCAGTTAGTTGCATCGGTATTCAAGATAGTCTTTTATTGTTTCTGATTTCAGGGGAAGTCAAAAATTAAATATTTATATTATTTTTAGGGGAATTTTCCTTTTCCCTTTTCTTTTTTTTTATGTTTATAAATTTTGCCACTGTTATTGTTATATTGAACATTGTCTAATTTCAATAATTCTTTGTTCATTTGATATTGTACATATTTTTGAAAACACAACTTTGTTTAATAAACAAAATAACATATGAAACCTCTCCAAAAAGGATATATTTATTTATTAATTTTATTTATTTATTAATTTAATTTGTACCCCGCCCTTCTCCTCATGGGACTCAGGGCGGCTAACAGCCTCATAAAAACCACAATACAAATACAATGATATCTATATTAAAAACCGAATTAAAAGGAAATATTTAAGAAGGCCGATCATTAAAATTATCCTTAAAATACCCTTAAAAAACCCCGCTAAAAATCCCTAGGC